CATGCTTACATACTTACATACTTACAGATTACATACTTACGTGACGGAAGGGCCCAAGACCTAGAGAAGCCTATTCTTCTACACACTGTTGGGGATCCAGGCGATGCTCGATGTAAAAGATTTGGTTACCTCAGTCACATACAGGGTCCAAGCGTAAAAATAGCGTGTTATCCAAGCAAAAAGCTTGGGTCTTTGTACGGTTTAGGGTTTAGGCTGACGGGTTTTGGTACGGAAAGAAGTAACAAATCTCATTGCCATCGCACCTAGAACTCCAGCACATATGCACGTGATGTGCATATGTTTGGGATTGAGCATTTTCGAGTTGAAGGTGTTATGTAGGAAACGTGACAAGTATGTATGCATGCATGAATGCATGCATGTATGTATGCACGTACGTATGTATGTGTGTATGCATCTATATATATATATACATATGTGTGTGTGTGTGTTTGTGTTTGTGTGTGTTTGTGTGCGCGTGCATGTGCGTAAGCACGTACGTACGTACATACGTACGCACCTACATCTGTATGTAGACGAACCAGCACATTTTTGTAGATAGACAAACGAGTGGACATACATGCATGATCCCGGTTCTCGGTTCACCGATCCCCACACCCCCCATGGTATCCTCCCCGGCCCGGTTCCAGACCCAAACTTACACCACGTCACAGGGGGAAGGGGGCAACCACCCCAACCAAAACCCAACCCCGAACCACACCACACCACAGGGAAGGGGGAAGCAACCCACAACCACACCACACCACAAGGAGAGGTACGATTGGGGGGCGGGGGGGCGGCCGGTCATGCATGCATGCATGTGTGCATGCAGACAAAGAAACAGGCAGACAGACGGACAGACAGAGATGACCGTCTGGCAAGGAGCTCCTTGTCTTGATAAAGATCTGCAGGCACCCTCCAGAGCACCCTGGCTTGCCGGGTTTGAGTTCACTGCATAGCTCCCATTCTGCGTAGCCCAGGTGTCTCATCCACCTAGGAAGCTGCTCACAATTGAATAAATCCTAAGATCCCAGCAAAACTTCAGGTCTCCTGGAACCGCATCACAGACCATGGCCCAAGTCTTCAAGGGCTACGGCTGCGCCTTCTCTTCACCGTCTTCTCAAGAAGCTGCGGCCGCTCCTCCATCCGTGTCCGGAACTCGTTGAGCCGTCGTACGTGCCACTCGTGCAGCCGCCGGCCAGGTGGCTGCGGCTTGTCCGAAGAGAAGTTGTCCCGCCACTCGGCCGAATCCCAAGACGACCAGTCGGCCTCGGCTTCCTCCGAGACTTCGGTGGGCAACGCCATGCTTTCGAGGCGCGGCTTTGGCTTGCTGTCCCGGCCCTTCGTCGGCTCCTTGCTGTGACTCTCCGTGCGACGAGTTGGGGCAGTCGGCAATGGCAAGTCGTACTCGGGAAAAGCCTGGAAAACTTGCTGCAGATCGACTCTTCCCCGCTTCGCCTGGATCTCCGGGTGGACCTCTGTACCCTGGCCGGAGGCCGCCCCGCATCCCATGGCCCCTCCGAGACACCCACAAATCCGATGTCAGGAATTGGTAAGAAAGAACAAAGCAACGGTGGCAAAACCAATCATTGTGCTTCGTATGCTGACTGCCATTCCGTGCTCACCAGACTACCCTATTCTCACAATCACTATGCCTACAACCCTGTTGAGAGGATGTATTCCTACAACTACAATACGCGCATGATCATATAATTCTTACATGTTACAAGCCCCCATCCCATGAGCCGAGACATCCTGCCCCTGCAGGCAGAGGACTCAAGGAAAGGGTGAGAGTTCGGAAAGAGGGTGGGGGGGGTGGTGCTGAATGTAAGGAGCAGGGCTTTTGGGAGTCCTTCAGCGGAATGAATGACCAGAGCAGTGTTTTGTGGACAGGTTGGCAGATTTTGCTTTACCAAGATCCCGAAATTAGGAAAAGTGAGGAGGGCTTCCTTTATGCGTATAGTTCTCCACAGGACTCGCTGTCACGTACCGAGACATCTTGAGGAAACATACTTTCTACTTTCAAGCAGGGGTAGCGAGGTCTCGGGAAGTTCGGTCGCCTGAAACCACGACTCTCGGCCCGCATCTGCTTCAATTCTAGGCCCCAACCAAAACCTGCCAAACTGTCAACCCTGAACCTTTCCCAAATCCTCCATGCTAAATCCTGCCCAACCCCGCCCCACCTAAACTTTGAAGCCCTAGCTCGTGAAGCACGTGCCAGAAGGGCAATGAAGTCGAGAACGCTGGAGAGGTCTGCCCGAAGGCTCAGGAGCTTCTCATCCTCGTCGGGTCCATGTGTACTGGCTTCTGTATTAGTATGGATATGATTTGATTATGACTAGGGCTATGATTTCCAATACGACGACGACTACTACTTGCTGCGACAACGATTTCGACAATGCTGTTGTGATCACGAGCACTTAATCTACTTCTGACTGCTGGTAGTATGCTAATCAGCTAATCATAGTATCACGTGCAAAAGGGAATCATATTTCGAAACCGGAGCAACGAGATCATAGTTTCGGCATGGTACAGTGCTACGAATAACGGGACTGGCAGCTAGCGTCCTACATGTACTGGTACTATTGTAAATGTTACTGTTGCTTTCTCTAGTTCGAACAAGAACGGCTGCTGCTGCCGCTGCTGCCGCTGCCGCTGCCGCTGCCGCTGCCGCTGCTGCTGCTGCTGTTCCTACCACCACCACCACCACCACCACCACGACTGCTACTACAACT